GCTTAAAAGTGTATGTATATTATCAAGTAACAACTTAACCAATCCCGTCACCTTGAAAATGGGACTAAATCTCATGATTAACCTTTCACTCATTTCTGCTATTCTTCCGTGTCATCTCCATCCACTTGGACTCCAGTGTTAGTTTAGTCGCATCTATTTTCACATTCTCCATCGCCGTCTTGCAACGAGGCCATAACTTGATCGGCCAAGGCACTTCACTGATGGCATGTGATACTTTAACGTTTGTGGACATCTCAGGAAAACTTATCAACAGCAAGCAATCGCAGTTCATCGAGAGATGCCAAATTGATGTTGGTAGGAAGAGCCTCTAGCAACATCAAGCCATTTAACTACCTGCCAAGTTTCACGAGTCCAGCTATGGCTTCGAGTATCGAGAAAAGCGTCATTAACAATCTCCCAAGCTTCTTCAACAATCCCTTCATTAGTCACTAAATTGCGGCTTGATTTCATCCTCTGTCGTCTCAGTAATTCAGACAAGAATCAGGAGGATCAATATCAGCAGCAACGGAGGAAATCGGCGACGAGAGAGCTCCGGTTAGGGTTCTGAGTACCGATTTTTTTAAAATTTGACTTAAACCAGAGCAGTCCAATTGTGACGGAGGTGGGTAATCCGGGAACGATTGCGGCGGTGGTGGTGACGTGGCGGATAACGGCGATGAAAATGGAAGCAAGAGCCTCATCTTTGTTTAACGGTTTAGTTTTTTCGGTTGGTTTGACGTGGTGGATAAAGGCGCTACGCGGATGTCGGGCGTCCCGTTAGGCTATTCGATGATTTATGCGTTTTTTAAAAATACGGATGTTTATGCGGTTTAGGCGGATGTTTATGCGGTCTAGACGGAAGATTACGAGGCCTAGGCGGATATTAGGCGGCTATATAAAAACTAAACAAAAATCACATTTTTAATTTTATTGTAAAATAAAGTTGTTTATCATAATTAATATTTATTTTTAACCTCCAAAGATCCAATCTACTAGTTAAAATCTATCATTTTGAAATTAAGTTTAGAAATTATATATTTTCTATTTTTATATATTTTAGAAGACTTTTAATTTATTTTAAGGTTATATGTATATATATAACATTACATGTTCTATTACATAAGAATTTATTAAGTTTAATATTTGAGGCTTCTCATTTCTAAATATATATAAATATAAAATATATTAATGTTTTATTCATTATATATGCAATATATTGTATATATATATATATATATCCATCTTTATATATATCTAGGAAACTAATTATCCGCCTAAGTCCCGGCTATACTCACGCGTATACGGTTAGGCGCTAGGCCCTCCTTTGCCGCATAGTAAACGTCTAGCGCGTTTTTGAACACTGTATAATACAAAAAGAGAGTGTAATATTACATTATATCCAAATAATTAGTAGCATTCTCATGTAAAAATAACTAGTTTGTTAGTAAACAAACCTCACTGTTTTTTGTGCCAATGTCATTCGGATTACCAACCTCATTCTCAATTGGAGAGACAATGAGAGGAGCAACAAGGTTCTATAATACAAAGAAAAAGTGTATTATTACATTACATCTAAAGAATTAGTAGCAATCTCATGTAAAAATAACAAGTAGTCTGGTAGTAAACAAACCTCAATATTTTTTGCGCCAATGTTGTCATTCGCATTACCAACCTCAGCAACAAGGTTCTACAATAGTATTACATATAACATTTGTTCAATGTAAACCAAAACCAAATAATTTACAAATAACAAGTAAATCATGAAATGTTACAGAATCTACCTCATTCTCAATCACAAGTTCGTTTTCATTTAGGGCACCATTCTCAACATTGAGGGCACCAGACTCATTCTGCATTTGTAGAACACCATGGCTGGTTCTATCGGATCGAGTGAGATTAGGTACGGAAAATCACCTGGAACATCGATATCCTGAAGGTTAACCATGGCTGCAAACGATCGGGATGAGACTTGGTGTTGTTGTTATCGATCGAGTAGTGACTAAGAAAGAAGGGTTTTGCTTGATCTCTAAGTATTTATATATAAAATGTCGATGTCCATGTCGATTGAGGGTATATTCGGAACGAATAAGAAACAATAAAACACGGCCCATTTTAGTTTAATGGGTCACTGTAATTACTTAATCGACATTAAAAAAAAACAAATAGAGAAAACAATTATGAAGAAAATTAAAAGAATCAGTGCATAATTAACACAAATAAACTTACGATATAAGAAAAAAAAAAGTCAAACAGAATAAACAAGCAAATAGAGAATTGAGATATATCTATTACAAATCCATAAATCAAACAAGCTTATATAGAAGAAGTGATATCCATCTTTGTATTGCAAAAGCCATAAATCAAACAAGGATATAAGATGAATAGAAAATTGAGATCTATACATGATTCTTTGTACTGCAAATCAAATAGAGAATTGAGATCTATACATGATTCTTTGTAGTGCAAATCAAAGATGCAAATCAAACAAGGATATAAGATGAATACAAATTAATAAAATCAAACAAGGATATAATAAAATGTATAATCATAAATCAAATAAGGATATAGATGAACAGAGAATTGAGATCTATCTTTGACGTAGACTAAAAAGGCACCGACTCAGAGAAAAATAGATCTTGCAGAACTGAACACTATGTCTGACACCTACGAAAGTACAACTATATA